ATACAAATGAGTGTGAGGCAAAAGCAGGCAAAGTTGTCAAAGAATATGCTGGCAAAAAGCTAGAGCGGCACGCAACAAACCGTTCACGGCAACAATCCGGTAGGGAATGAGTGCAGGCTGCAGGCTTTCATAGTGTGGCTGATGAGCAGGTTGCAGGTGTGGTTGATTGGAGATTGCTCCCAGCCGTGTAGAGCAGACCAGCAGGCAGGGGAAGGTTATCACCAAACATTTCAAGAATGTTTTTAAAGAACGTTATCCTACCTTTCAGAAGAACATTCTGGGAACCAAAATAAAATGTCCCGCTGAAAACATTCCTAGAACAATGAATGGTAACATTCTCAGAATTTTTTGAGAACCAAAAAAGTCTAGCTGGGAACTCACACATGCCACCGCAAAGATGCGATATCTGCTTACAGCTTATCATGAATTACGTGCTTGTTTGTTTTTTTCAAAAGGAAAATATGATGACATCAGATTTTTTAAAACATCCTTTTCAAACAAATGCAACAAGTTTGTTTTTTAAAGCGCTCTAGAAATAAATCTGACGTTGACCATGACCGTGTTAATATTTGCCATCACAGGAACGTTTTATATAAAAAAAAATAACCTCCTGAAAACATTATCCGAATGTTGCTTTCAAAATGTTCTTCTTTTGTTTTCATGTAACATTGAGGGAACGTTTTATAAAGAACATCTTTAATGTGTCCCCAACAACATCCAAAACACATCCTTAGAATGTTGCAGGCAAAACGTTCCACCTTTGTTAACATATCACATTAAAGGTGGGATAGGTAATTTTGGAGAAACCAGCTCGAGTGCGCTAGAATTTGAAAATACACAGCCGGAAGAAATCTGCTACTTCCTTACAGAGCCCCTCCTCCAACACACACGACCAATGAGGGCACGAGATAAGTTTGTGCACAGATGGAAGGCTGACAGGCAGATAGGCCATCCAGTTATTTTAGCCGGGCCGGCTAAAATGATTGGTCGTGCTTTTTACAGTACTACGGCTTCCACAGATGACATTTTGTTATGGATTTTTTGTCAAAGCACTTAAGATATTCATTGCTATCGGGATGTTAAGAGCATTCCATGGAATATAACAAAAAGTGTATCTCGAGCCGGTTTCTCAAACTTACCTACCCCACCTTTAAAGGAACGTTTTATAAAAAAACTTTCTGTCATCTCAGGCCTTAATAACATCCTCAAAACATCCTCTGAATGTTGCAGTTAAAACGTTATGTCTTAGTTAACCTTAAACCTTATAGGAACATGATTTGAAATAATAAACATCCTAAAAAGGTTCTTTGAACATCAGATTAAAACGTTTCTTTAAAACATTATTAGAACCTGTAGGTAACGCTAGCCAAAGTTGTGAGAACGTTCCCCGCTAGCTGGGATAACCTTTAAAGGTGAATGCAACATGTTCTTGGCAGAGGTCTGCACTCTCCGAGAAACCTTTTTCCAGTGGTGGGCCGTCAGGGCCAGCAGGGCCTTCTCTGCTGGCCTAAACACTATCAGAATCACTGACTGACCTTTTAATATAGTTTTTTCTTTTAAGGGGACCTATCATGCAAAATGCACTTTTGTACGTCTTCAATACATGAATATGTGTCCCCGGTGTTCCAGGGAACTCACCAAGTGTCAGAAAACACAACCCTCTCTATTTTCCTCCATACCAAAATCTCTAAAAAAGGGACTGCAACGGATCTGATAAAAACTGATCCAGATTTGAACACTTTACTGACGTCAGTAAAGTGGCGCTACGGCTATTGGGCCAACTCTCCACTTATCAGGGGAATGTGGGGTTGGGCCAAGGCCGGCCATTGCCGCTCGAAAGCGCTGGAGACGCTGTAGTACATATGCCAGGCCTGTAAGTGGTGCTGTAGTCTGCCACAAAAGCAGCAAAGAAGACTTCCCGCCCATAGTTACCATGGTTACCCTTCTGTTTATTCTCATCTGTGGCTTTTTTTCTCCCTCCCCGAGGCAAGCGTTTGCTCCCGCTGCTTTAATTCAATGCAATCCCTCCTCGTCGAGGCAAGCACTGTAATTCTCTCCGGTTAGTCCACCAGCAGATGACAAACACCCACCTCTCCGCCTCTTCCAAGGAACGAGGGGACCATGCGGCAGAGTTTCAGTTTCAGTTTCTTTCGCCGGTCAAGATGTCCGTTAAAGTTGAAATCTTCCGGACAAAATTAGAAAAGTGCCGGTCAAAGGTCTTCTTTGTTATTTATTGAGCTTTAAAACAAATGAATAACGACTCTATAGGCCTATAATAATATAATAAAACACGGAGGACAGAGATCTTTTTTTCTCCCCCTCTTGACTTGATCAGAGCACGGCTTCCCTCTCCTGCAGGGGGGCGTGGTCAGCTGCAGCTCACAGAATCAGCCCCGTAGACAGCAAACAGCACATAGAGCGAAATGAGGCATGGCTAAAATGCATGATCTGTTTGGTATTTTGAAAACAGAAACGTATAAATATACCTTAATATACTGTATGGCCCTACAATATATCATTTAAATATAGCATGATAGGTGTCCTTTAACATATATGAAGTGATTTCTAATCTTCTATTCTCTATATTTCATAGCTTTTCTCTGTGCTGCGCTTGGTTGCTTGTAGCTTAAAATAAATGGCAATGAACCCAAACTGTTGCATTGACCAATCCAATTTTGAGTTGGCGACACCGGGGCCATAGCAGGCGTATGATGACGTTTGAAAACTTTTGGGGAAACCCGAGTGGATCTTCAGCTTAACGAACAAGTGTGCAAGGAGCTCAACAATGGTTTTTGCCAGAAATACGATTGCACACACTCTACTTTCAGCATTAGCCTCCATGGCGTTAGAACAGGACTTATTGTTGGAACTGAGAACTCTTCTTTAGGAAAGAAAGGAGGATGACGTCCCGCCCCTTAGCCTAGCATGTACAATGTGTTGAAGTGCTAGCCAATAGAAGCGCAAGTGTTACGCAGTGATGTTACTATGTTACGTTTCAGGCAGGGTGTGGGAGAGTGTGTGAGAAAACACATGTATGAAGCCATGAGGAGACTGTTACCAACTTAAAACGACAACATTTAACAAATGGTTTTTCAACATGTGGGCAGGACCGGAACTGTTTAAATTATGTTATCTTGTTGTGCCCTCTTCCTTTCCAAGTACATTGTCAATATAATCTTGACAGTTGAGTCTGTCTGAGTCAGATAAGGATATTTCAGGGGAATTATTGCAACATTTCATTAAAAGAAATCAGTTTTGAAAGGTTTTGCCATTTTAGAGGATACAAAGTGGAACTTATAAGCTTTAGACAGCAAACTGGTATCACAAGTACCATTTTATTTAAACCTGCTATAACTTTAAAAGAAGTTGTGAACACATCATTGACATTTCATCACTTTTTTCTTTAAGACGATATACTGTAGCTAACACATATTGATTATTCATTTGAAGTCACTTTTGTGTTCAATATTTTCTCTCTCTTTTTGGTCCCCGCCAAGTCCTGAGGGAATCACCCGGCTCTTTAGCTGCTAGATGGGGGGTCTCCCATTGAACGAAAGCCCATTTGTCCGATGGTCCATTGCTCCAAAAATACATACTCTGCTACTATGCAAAGGCATGACCAATCCTAATCTGCTTCTGATTGGCTATAGTACTTGATTTGGATTGGTTGGGTTTAATATCATGCTTAAGAGTCATTCATTTGCGTCATTCAACTTAATTATTAGCCATGCACTTTTTAGAGCAATGGGCCTTCTGAGCAATGTGCATTTGTTTTCAGAGTAAGGGACCATTGGACAAATTTGTGAGCTGAGCTGAGGTGAGCTGCAGATTAAGGGGAAACATATATAATAGTTCACTCTTACAAGCAACCACTTTCACATACATATTTTGCTACATGGTTAGGAAAAAGATTATTACAGCAATCAGACTTCAACCACAATCTAACTACAGATACGTAGTTGACACAGAAAAATGCTACCGAGATGACTTTCAGTAACGGGAACAAGTGTGTTCCTGAAGATTCATCAAAAAAAAAACTTTGAAGATTAAATCTGAACTCTGCATCATTTCAGGTAACCTCAATTTCCAGACAACAAGGATTAATAACTGATGCAATTTCTTGTTTTTGTCCTCTTTGGCAAGAATACTGACAAACCAGGAGGTCATACCATTTTTAAACAATTTTAAAACATCACTGTTCTTTGAAATGATAGAAATTCCACAAGAGCAAATACGCAGCTAAGTTGTCAAAAAATGACGTTTTCAAGCCTGCGAATTTCCGTTTTATTGAGTTTCAATTCCTTTTATCCAGGTTGGTTTTATACATTTTATTAGTTGCAGGAAACCACACTGGGAGCTACGCAGTTTGACCACAAAAGTGTTACAAGTGCAGCTGGGGTTCAAGTGCACATTCACTGTGGTTGGATGCATTTGGCCTATGAGAGGAGGAAGGCGTCTTTGTTTACTTTAGTTTATCATCTTCCCTGCATTCATTATTAATGGTATCTGTTGCTTTAAATACATGATCTGTTCCCTCTTATCTGAATTAGCTGGAAGACACAAACAAGAGGAGTAATTTGAAAATTAGATAGAATAGGCTTCAGTGTAAAAAACTCTTAATCTTGCTTTTTTCTTTTTTCACTTTCTGCATTTGTAAGCCTTCACGTGTTTGTGAACAAGAGACAAGAGAAGTCAAACACAAGAAGAAAGGTGATGACATCAGGCTGCAGGAGGTGGGGGGAAGGAAGGAAAGACAATTGCTCAATTTTGTATTTTTTGATTCTTCTATTTCAATTTATTTATGATTTATCACCTCAACAAAGAAATTTGAAACTTTTTTGCAGATCAGGGGGGTTAGTGGAGGGGAAGGGAGGGGGGGGGGTTGTCCAGCGTGGGCGTTGAATGGCGACGATGGCTGATGACTCAGGTGATGTGTCATGCTGCTATGCTATAAAAGGGAACTTTTACATTTAGTCCACACATACACAAACACACACAAGTACAGTGCACACACTGGACTCAGAAGGAGGTTTGTTTACTACCGCAAGAGAAGAAAAGATGAAATGTAAGTTTGTTTATGATACTTTAAGAATGAATGTGTGTGTGTGTGTGTGTGTGTGTGTGTGTGTGTGTGTGTGTGTGTGTGTGTGTGTGTGTGTGTGTGTGTGTGTGTGTGTGTGTGTGTGTGTGTGTGTGTGGAGGAGGGGGGCTCTGCTGCACGTGGTCTTCACTCTTACTATGAGCCTGAGTAACTTGTGCAAGTGAAAGAATCAATTAGTGAAGGAATAAATAGGTGAGTGGGAAAAATATGTAAGCTGTGTTCAAATGTGATTGAATTTTATTTCACCTTCACAAAATGTTTGGTGTCAGGTAGGGCTGTGATTGGCTGGTCTTATGTGTGGGTATGTGGGTGTGTGTGTGTGTGGTGGGACTTTCCCTTGAGTAGTTTGAACTTGTCAACAATAAGATTTTTTGCAATAATTCGCTTTATTGTTGCAATATCTTCATATACAAATGTACGTTAATATAGAAAAATAACTTAAGTGTATACTTTTACACAATTTGTGTCAGATTAGGGGTTCATGGAGCCTAAAAATCTTGCTCTGATTTGGCCGACCAATCAGAGCTTTCAAGAATCTCTTACGTAGTGATAACTGAATAACTTGCCCACTCCTGACACCACCAGGATGTATGTAAACACAGTTAAATGAATGAAAGTGAAGCTTGTGGTCACAATGAGCAATGAAGCTCTCCAGCCACAGTCCCTGGTGTTATGATGATTCTTACATTGCATAACACTCTTATCCAGTCAAACACAACTAGTCGATTACTAACCAATTAGTAAAACCTGCTGACTCGCCAGTAAACACAGTGTGTGTATATGTCTGAAGGAAGCAAAATTCATGAGTCAGCTAGACAGACGGTGATGTTATCATTGCACATCATCAGGGCACTTATTGTAATGTAGTTTGCACACTCACTGTATGAGGATCAATGCTTTAAGTTTAAGATATGGAGTCACTGACAGTTTTCCCCAGTGGCTGACTCTGGGACTGCAACTCAAGACGTCTCCAGTTCATGGTTGACGTCACGCTATCTGTGTCAGGCTTGATGATGTAAGAGGGAACAAGACGCTGCAACATGAGAAACTGCACATAGCAGTTGCATAGTTTGGAAATGAATAGCCCATTTAAAAGATTTTGAATATATGTTGTACTTATTATTATTAATGACAATTTCCTGAAAAAAGGACAGATGTTTTTAAGGCAATTTTCTTCTCTCTAGAATAAAATCAATCATGTTTAATAATTAGGCTATTGCTACTGTAATATAAAACATTGTATAGATTCATACAAAAGTAAAGCTTTGCTATGTTATCAGATTCTGTATCCGCAGAGACCCTGCTGCCCTCGATTTTGGATTGTAATTGTAATCTTTTTCCTTCCTTTTTCTATCAAAGATAAAAGAAAAAAAGAACAAAGTTCAGTTCTTTCAAACTTCATGGCCAGAAGCAACATCACTTTGGTTAATGGGTGCAGCAGTAACATGCTTACACTTGAAATTATTGTATTCAGTTGTTATAGTTAACATTATGTTAGGCACACCGGCACAAATAAGGACCAAACATACAAATCATGTGGTTCTCTCTTTGTTGTTTTTAAAAAAGAATATTAAGTACAGTTGATCAGTTCAGCTTCAAATGTATCTCAACTGCTTTGAAATTATTCATATTTTTCATCTGAACACACGTAAAAATGTGGCTCACCATAATGATGTTTTATTTAAATGTCAATCATTACTTTTGTGGTTTACCAGTTCTCTGAAAGTCATTTAATTAAAGAGGTTTTTAAGTGGGCATGTGTGTGGCACTTCCTGCCCGATGCTGTCACTTCCCAACAGAAGTTCATCAGAAGTTCTGGCTCAGATGAGGAAATGAGACTGACACGAAATAAGTCAGAAACTGTAGAAGTGTGTGATACGTTACATGGGTGTGTTGATGTTACGTGTGTGAGTGAGCGTGTGCTGACGAAATGGTCTGATAGCTACATTAAAGAGAACCAATTGACTTCTTAAGCAGTTCTGCTCTGACCTGCAATGCTGTCACAGCTTTTTATACTGCCAAATACATGAATGTACTGCCCGGGGATGTTTTTCTAGTATGACACAGGATTTCTGCTGATGTCTTCTTCAGTAGTTTTCCAATAGCGTAATGGAGCTATTCCACATTTTTAGCTTGTGATGACTTACAATGACTTGTTATTGGTTGTAGAAAGATACAACCAAGAAGCTGAGGGTGCACTTTCATTGGCCAATTTGAAAGGCTTCAGCTTTGAGTGAACATCTGTTTGTGATTATTTGGGGATCTAATGGGATGATATGTTTTCAGTGTGGCTCCACTTTTGAACCATCCTATCGGTGCAGTTTTTACTATTATCAGGTAATAACAGGGGTATAGTTTAAGGTCTTTCATCCAGATGTTTCCTCGCATCAGCTCCCCTTTTAAGATATTGGCCTGCCTTCTGTCCAATACAATAGAACGAGATGGCACTTGTGGTGCTTGTGTCGAATGTGATTGTTTTGTGAACTTTAAAAAACCAGCAAGCATTATATTAAGATTTCAAAGATTAAAAAACAAGCTTACTCTAGTGAAAATGTACAGCGATTGTCAGGCTGACCACAGGTCTGCTGTTGAAAAGGGCCTTACTGATTACATTAGTTATTAAAAAATGTAATAAAGTGTATTTCATGTTGATTTTGTATACAAATCTGCTAGACAAGGACAGCTCTCTGAGAATTAAGACAATCAATAAATAGTTAAAAAGCATTTTTAAATAAAAAGAAGAAAAATAATATGCTACATAAAAAACCCATATGGACACGAGGAGAGAAAATGGAAATATGGAAAGTGTATACACTTCTTTTACAGATCTTCCAAAGTTGACTTTATCTTTTGTACCAGAAACAATGTCTTTGGTACAAAAGTGTACTGGATTCTCCTCAAATTGACCTTTGACCTTAAAGTTACTGCAGTGAGTGTCTGAATGGCAGTAAAAGTGTTTAAAGTGCACAGTTTGAGACACTCATTACAAAGTGGATGTTTTCCCTCTAAAGACTGCAGCCTGAGGCGCCAGCCGGGTGACGTCACCACACAGATCGATCTGAGTCAGACCTCTGCTCCCGCTCCCCTCTCCTTTTCTAACAGGAGGCCCAGAGCAGGCAGGGGGTGTGGGGGGAGAGAAACCCACAACATACCTCTCATTCCTTCACCCTGATGTAACACCAACAGACAGCTCATTCCTTTGTTGCTCCGGCTAATGGGTTTTCTGAAGTTGCACAAACCCGTGGATAGATTTACATGAGCTGTCTTGACTGATGTGTTATTTCCTTGATCTCCACTGACAATAAAGCCTCAGAGACCAAGATAAACAAACCACAGGGGATTCATGGGAATTATTCGATCAAAGATTGATTAAAAGAGTTCTGGTTGAACAGACAGAGAGATGACAGCTGGATGATACTTTCTTTGTAAAAAACACAAGGAGGAAATATTCAAACACAGAGGCCCATTCATTCATGAGAGACACATTGACAGCAAATAGTCTGCACACCTGTGGGTCAAATGATGGTGTAATGTGAAAGGTGTTTCCCTCTGTCGTAAACTCATGCAGAATCATCAGTAAAGTTCCCCGAAGCTTTACACAGCGTGTGCACGTCATTCAGCTCTTTGTTTGGGTTTTATGGCCTGCAACTTCTGCTCCATTCACTTTTTATAGCAACAGAAAGAATGTTTTTTCAGTGAAAAAGCTCAAAAAAGAATGGGTGGAGACCAAAAACAGAGGTAAAGGTTGAGTGAATTTGCGACTTAGAGTAATCACGATGTAAGAAACACAGCAATAAAGTATACCCATCCATCTATCTTGGACCTTTTTAGCAGGATTAATGTGAAAGAATGTGTAGATCAATACAAAACATTTAGAAAAACAAACTAATTCTGCCATTTTTGCTGAGATGATTTTTCTCAGGACCACATGACACTGTTTCTCAGAAATACAAATGATCAGTCTGCAGTAATCTCGGTTTCCAACCCCCGCATTAACACACTCGGCCACTAAATTTGCTAGCAGTAAATCATCATCTGACCTATAAACCTCTATTCACATCCGCAGAGCTTTAAATCTGAACTGCTGCATCAGGGTTTTTAAATGTTTGGACAACCCAATGCAACGTATTTCTGATGATCACATGGAATGGCAGTGTTTCTGACATCTGGAATCATCTTGTGTTGACATGTGCATGGTTTTTCTAGATTGAGGTTAGCAATAAAAATGTGTTTCCATGCAGCTTTGTGGTTGTGGGATGCTACAGTCTAAACTGCAGCCAGTAGCCCACCATTGTGTGTGTAGTTTTGAGTGAATCTGTAAACTGAAATGCAATTCTGCAATACATGGCAGTGTGACGAAATAACATTTACAGAAAAGAAACAGGAACATGTCACAAGCGGTGTTTTTTAAATGAATAATCTTGTCTTTTCAGTAATCGATGACTGCACCCCTTGTCTTCTCCACCTGCTGCTATTGGCTGAGCTGTTTGTCCCTTCATCATCTTATCCCGCCTCTCGCTCTCCTCTGTGTGGCATGTTGAGATCCATGATCCATCAGGTGGAAAGGTTGACGAAATTATCCGGAAAATTCCATAACTTGGTAAGATTTCTCTATACTCCCTGGCCCGGCTAATGAATTGATATTAAATGTGTTTTCATCTTAAATATGCTCAGTTTATAGATGTCCAATCAGGGTAGAAAGAGAAAAAAAGCTATATATTTGGTCTTATTGATTTCTGTTTGAACCTTTTATCCAAGTTCTTTCTGAATTTGCTCAAAATCCAAGTTATATCTTAGAATTTTTCATTTTTTAAAGCCAACTTCTTTTCCCATCATGCTCCAAACAGACAGGTAAAGAACTTGAACACCTAGAGGTTGCGGGAAACAGACTGGCCGGTCTTCCTGACATGGAACACACTGCGGCTCATATCGACTCACTGAAGGTAAAGGACTAGAATCAAGGAAATCATTTATATATAGAAAGGTTGTTTGTTGTAGGTAGGTCTATAATGGCTCTCTGTCTACTCAATGTCTTCACAGGTGAATGAGTCGCTCTCCCAGTTGTTCATGTACACTCAGTCCTTCAGGCTGCATGTTGATTGGTTGAAAACAGCCAAAGAAAACGTCAGTCTGTCCTCCCAGCCAGCAAAGGAGGCCAACACTCACCTCCTTCATCTGTCCACCTTCCTGAATGCATCACTTCACCAGGTGAGAGGAGCAGCATTGTTTGGTTCATATACAGGGATGATTTGAATCCCAAACATTTCAAACTAAATAAAACAGGAGATTCACTAAAAGAAAGAAAACAAAATCTAAAAACTTCTTGTTGTCAAGGGGTGGATTTCCCATTAAGCTATACAAAGTGTATCCCTAAATGGGAATTCATCTTATGTTATTTGACTTCTGAGCCACAGCCATACCCTCTACTAAACTCTGATCATCCTTTGTATCTTTAGATCGGCGAAGAGGTGCCTCCTTCGGAGTCTCCCTCCCTCCCTGAGGTCTCCACGCCCTTCGATGTGCTTCAGTTCTCTGTTGAGATCTCTAAACGGCTACGAATGTTTTGCTTCTGGTCAAAAAGGGTTTTGTTGACTATCCAGAGACTATCCCAATGCCCTTGACATTAAGCTTCAGCACATAAGCAACTGCAAATATCTTCCCACAAAAACGCTGTTAACTATTGGGAGTTTTACCAAGTGAAGAATTTTAGACATGGAAATGCCAAGTCAGTTGGTCCAGAATGAAAAATCTCAACATCTATTGAATGTATTGATCTGGCGTTTACAACAGATGCATGGTGGATGCATTTAAATGACTTGTGATCCCCTGACCTTTCCTGTAGCACCACCGATAGGTCAAATTCCACTTATCCAGTGAAACATTTCCATGTCCACTGGATGGTTTGGCAAAAATGTGATACAAACATTCATGGTCCACAGATGATAAATCCTATTGACTTTGATGATCTATTGAATTTTGACTTAGACTTTTCCATAAACCTAAAATCCCACCATTAAGTTTACACATACGGTCTTAAAAGAAATGTCTGTCCATGCCATGAAATTTAGTTCACTTTAATTCACTTACCCCTCAACATGATTTGTTTCCCTTTAATGATCTTTGACTTCTTACTCCACCACTTGGTCAACATTGTACCTAGTCCAATATCTTGGTTTATGACTAATAACCGGAAAAGCTAGTGACATTCCCAACAGTATTACCTTTGTGTTTTGTGCAAAACGTTAGCATGCTAACATGCTAAAATAAGACGAGGAACCTGCTTAGCATTGGCATGTTAGCATTATCATTACAAGCTAGCTTAAGATAGAATCAAGCAATGAGTATAATAAGAATTTCCAGGAGTCATATAATCGCAGAGTTAAAACAGTTTTGATGCTAATGCAGCTACATTTTAGAACGTTGAGTTCTACAGTTCAGCTGTAAAACAGAATGTACGTTTTTGGCATGTTTTTAAGAAAGTGTGAGTATGCTTCGTTTGACATGTTGCCGGTTAAAATGTGCCCTACTAATGCACTCTGCAGAGGCACACCTGTTACCCTTTGGGACTGTTTACATTCACAGTGCCTGCTAAATGTTGATGGAGAAATATTGTGAAACAATTAATATTTTTATACTATTGTTTTTTTATCTATTTAGTATTCTATTTATGAGCTTTTTATATTATATGACATAGTAAGATGCAGGCATCTCACTTTTTTGTATGGGTTATCTATGTATTATTTAATAATATTATTAATAAAGTATTGTCAGACTGTAGTTCATTTACAGTATTATTTATACATTTTGTATGTTTTCTTTTTGTAAGTTTAGTCATTAATAAAGTTTGACACTTGAAACCGAAATCTGACTGCTCCATGGTGATTTTCTGTACTTCTTTATTTATCACACTTTACACTCACTTCACCAATGATTTAATCCAAAACCTGAATAACTGTGAGGTTGAAACAGTCTTATTGGTTGAAATGAACCAAGGCAAGGCAAGGCAAGAATAAAAAAAAGATTTAATTTAATTTGGAAGTTAAAAGGGATTTCCTTTTGTTGCTAAAGTAATCTGTAAATCAAATAAATGAATAGGTAACTTGCCTTTTTGTCAACATTTTGACCATAGCTGGAAAGCACAGGTGTTACTAATCTGACTAACGATGCCTCTTTTCTACTCAGGTGTCCCATTAAGCAATGAGAGAGTGACTGTTAGCCACCATGCAGGAACACAAATTCAGACATCATTAAATACATTATTTTCGCCTGTGCTTTTTCTGTACTTTAACAGAATGCCTTGTGTGAAAAAAGCCACAAAAAAACAATATGTGTGTCCGTGCCTTACAAACTCTACTCAGTAACCATTACCAAATGGTAAAATAAGCCACAATGATGTTTAACATTTAGATGTAAGAAATACTTGGATAGGGAGAGATAATGGTCATAACGTGAATAAACCAACACTGACCTTTGATGCAAAACAGTGTGCAAAGAGAAATGTCAGTCAGAGATCTCGTCCCAAAATAAAAAACACTTTGTTTTCTCTGTTTGTGTTGTTATGAATTTGCTTTGCATTTTTTAACAACTTGTACATACTGTATAAACATTAACTGTACCCATTAAAGATGAGAGCAGCACTATGTCAGTGCCTTGCAGATTAAATGGCTCCGCCCACTTTCTGGTGAAAACTTGGAATTGGTCCCAAATGGGAAAAATTGTTTAATCATGCCTAAAAGCTGCTGTGTCATATATTGCACTTCAAACAACAAAAAATGTCCAAAGTTCAGATGTTCTATACTTTTCCTTAGAAAAAAAGGGAAAGAAAAGAAGAGTCCAACATAAACAAAGTCTTATCCAACAATACATTAATTATATATTTGTACTTAACAGTACTTTATATTAAAGGCATCTGGATTTGAAAAACTGGTTTCAAACCTATCACATCTAGTTAACTGTGATCTTGTAAAACCTGTGTTCCCATACAACAAAACTGCATTGTCATTTCTAGCTGCTGTGAAGTTTTGTTTTTGTTGTATTTCAATTTAAAGCAGTGACCACATGTTTACAACTGTAACCAAAGTCTGGAGAAAAAAATCCCTCAGAATGTAATGGAGAATGCAAAAAGTTGTATGGGAACATAATGACGCTGGAGACGGCTCTCTGCTTTCATGTGATTATAGGGCAATAACAAACCCATAAAACTAAGCGTTACTGACACTGTCTGCCTGAGCAGCTGCCTCTCCTCTAACAAACGATACATTATTACTAATGCTCCACATCTGCAGCTGCAATGCAAACACTCATCCAATCCAATCCACTTTATTTATAGAGCACATATTAAAAACAGAGGGTTTACCGAAGTGCTTCACAGCAAACATAACATTATAATAAAATATAATATTACAATAATAGATAAAAGGCACACATAAGAATAGATAAAAGGCATACATAAAGGCTATGGACAGACAATAAAAGCATAAAAATCGATAAAACATAACTCAAACTGACTCGAAAGCGAGGGAAAAGAGGCGGGTCTTCAGGCGGGACTTAAAAGTTTGAAGGGTGGGCGACAATTTGACATGGGGGGGCAGGTCGTTCCAGAGCCTGGGGGCTACCACTGAGAAGGCTCGGTCTCCCCTGGTCTTTTTCTTGGTTTTTGGGACTACTAGCCGCAGCTGATCAGCCGACCTCAAAGCCCTTGAGGGGGTGTACACCTTTAGGAGGTCGGAGATGTACAGAGGGGAAAGCCCATTGAGCGATTTAAAAACAAAGAATAACATCTTAAAATGAACTCATAAACTCATAAATCACTGAGGTTAAAGGCCTCCACACAAGGCCGACCACTGGCGTTCAGCTGTGCCCTGTGTGAGCGACATGGAGTTACACAAAGTGACTTGTATAATGTCAGCGTGTTGACATGTGGCAGACAGATGATCTCACACACAGACGGACTTTCGCTGTAACCAACGCTGGCGTGAGTGATCCTGCAGTTGCACGGACTGCGGTAACAAGTAGCAGCTGAGAGTTTCATCTGCAAACCACATGGGGTCTGAGTAGAGGAACATTCTTTGACTGTAAATAGAGAGAGAGGGAAAACAAGCTTTGTATGCAGAGAGGGAAAGAGAGTGATATGCAATACAGAGATTTGTTGATTGACAGATCAACAGCTAAATAATGTCTGGATGCCCCTCTCTACATATTTTCCCAGGCAAACATGTTATGTTGTTCTTCGACCTGCTGCCAGAGGACAGTGTTTCATGCAGCTTGTAGTTAAACCACAGCTGAGCAGATGATATTCTACTAGAAAGAGTGTGAAGACAGACCCAGGGTGAATTTACTTTTGCTGTTCTGATCAGAGTTCCTCCAAATAACAATGCATTTTTCACCAAGATTCTTGTATAATTGCCTACGCCAATGGAACTAAGCATAACGTAGGATTTATTTGTTTATGTTTATTGTTAAAAAAATGTCACCTGAATTCGTGCCATCGAAAGTAAATCTATGTTGTGTTATAGGCAATACAACCACTTTGACAACGCTCTCCTCACCTAAAGTAGGTTAGTCATTTTTACCCGAATCATAATGCTTCTCTAAACCTTACTAAGTAGATTTTCGGCCTAAACCAAGAACCAAACCTCAACCATAGTGTTGTAACATTAAAAAACATATACATTTTTAACAGTGATTCATAGACAAATGATGTCAACCTGCTTATAAAGGCATCAGATAAGAAATTGCAAAAAGGTTCCAGAAACTATCTCCTACAATATATATATATTGCACTTTTTTTACATTCAGTAACTGGGGTCTACAAGGTTAGGGTTACAATGAGATTACATGCTGTTTAAGGATTTTTATAGAATTAAAGTTTACCAAGTTTATTCTTATGTATATGTTATAACATCTTGAATTTTTTATATCAGCACATGACTTGGTTGCATACTTTATAATTCGACAACACACACACACAAACACACAGTCTTGTTCATAACAAACTCCCAGTCAACAGTTACTCCCATCAATAGAGCACACACAGGGTGGGATAGAGAGAGAAGTTAATGTTGAAATGAGGGATGGAAAGTAGAACAACACACAAACACAGGCACACACACACACACACACTGAACCACATGCAGGGCACTCTCCAGGACCCAGAGGGAGGACAGGAGGGAGGAGTGGAGGTGAGGACAGATCACTTTGGGATAAAAGTTGCAGCTGCAGCCAACAGCAAAGCCATTAGGAAGCTCGCCGGACAGTGTGCAGAGTTCCTCTACGGACAACCGAACTCTGTCTGCCGCACACTGAGACTCACACAGTTTTATACTTAAGGTGGAAAGAAGACGGAACAGATGAGGACCCATGGGAGATTTGACAGGTGCACCTGCTAAATGAAGATTATTTATGCTGTACAGATATCTAACTGAAGGTCAACGGTGCTGAACTGAACCACGGCTGCAAAATGACAGTAAGTAAAAACTGGTGCATGGATTCGCTCACTGCTCCGAAGCATACGTAGGTAAGGTCTTCATAGACTTTTATAAATAGAAGAAAATGTTAATTGCATGTAGCTATACCATGCTGATAGTTTTGAGGATTTATATTCTGAAACATCAGTGTTCTTCTGTGTACGATGAAAGGTGAATGGAATATTATTTGTGGTGCTCACAGCATTGAGCCCCCATGTTAAAGGTAAACTAAAATTCTGTAATTGTTTGCAAAGCAGAATATTAGAGACTCATATGTCAGACTGGATAAATAAAAGCAGAGCTATCTTCATGGTGAGACTCCACTGTACATTGGAGAAAAATACATTTCTATGAATTTAAATTATAATGTATGATCAGATGTAGGATGCTATTTATGTGTGGACTATACTTGGATAATATTTGATTATAATTTGATTTATGTGGTATAGATTGTAAATGTATTTTTTATTTATAAATTAGGAACATTTTAAAATAATCATCATCAATGTCTGAAGTCATATAGGACTTAATATTTTTTTTTGTTTTGTTTTATTATATTACAACAATAGATTATATCACGATCATTATAGTCCTAAATGTGCATTTGCCCCACAATGTCAATGCAATACAAGTGAAATGTTGTAAAATGTTACAACATTTGCACTGCTTTGCTTTACCTAAAAACTGGAAAATGATGGCTTATTTTGCAAGTTCAACAAAGAACAAAGTAAACTCGTAAAAAATATTTATCAAGTATGTTTTGATGTGTTATGAGATGCTAAATCAATGACACTAAATATACTTCATGTATATCCATATGGACTGTACGCTTTTATCTTTATTCATTTAATATATATTAAAAAAAAATAATCAATATTTGGTTCTATACATTTTTGGAAATACATTTACATAATTTACCTAAATGGTGGTTGAAAGACTTGTGGAAGATTTATTGTAAAATAATTGTTCAAAATGCACCAGAAGTCAAAGGAAAGCAGCAGGTTGCTATGATGCTCGTATATTTTTTCAAAATGTGTTCAGTCACTATTACAAAATGTATGTTACCTGCTACTACTACTTCTACTACTTCTACTACTACTACTATTACTCACTAGCTCTCAAGCTGATGATGTTATCATCCATCACACTTAATCCCCAGAGATCCATTTCTAGGTGGAGGACATTTGTCTCTTATGTAACGTGGCGTCTGACGGGGAAGTTGTTGAAAACAGGCGTCACCTCTTTTGACACTCGTCCAAACACGATCAGCCTCGAGTCTGTCAGTTATGCTGCTTGCTG